CTGCTGGTATCACCTGGAAAGAAAAACATCTTTTGCTACAGAGTGGAAATAGAATGTCAGTATGAGTTGTTGCTTTTCCTTTCATTCAACAGCAAGCAGAAGTGCAGGAAGACAGTTCTGATGATGAAGATGATGAGGATGAAGTGTTTGGTTTTATAAGCTGCTTGAACTTAACAGAAAGGAAGGTTGGTATTCCTCAGTAAAATCTGGTTATAAATATTAGCATCAGTAATAAATGAGACTGTATCCTGTGTAACAAGCCTGGACCAGGATTTGGAATTCCACTGTGGAGGACTTGAAGTGGCTTAGCTTTTTTTGAGTGCAGTAACTTGCTGAGGGTCAAACATGAAGCAAAGAATGGAACAGAGAGTTAAAACTGGGCCTAGTAATTCCAGTGTAAATGAGCTGTCAGTCTCTTGTATTTCTTCCCTTTGATCTTCTGTAGTTTGGAACTTTTCTGTGGTGCTGCAGTTCCTTGTTCCCATCACTTCACAAGCTTTGTTTGTCCCCAGCTTTAGGGCTGAAGAATCAGCTTTTTGGCTGATTTCAAAGCAATTGTGCAGTGCTTTAGAGGCTGCTGAGGGGAATTGCCACCAGGCCTGTAGGAAGTTCCCTCAGAGTTGACATTCAAGGTTTTTTTGTGTAAACAGTTCTAAAGAAAATGCACCTTTTGCTTGCAGGGCACCCAGTGTGCTGAGCAGATCAAAGAGCTGCTTCTGAGTCGCTGTGAGCAGAGCTGTGAGCAGCGGGTGCTGGAGCAGCTGAGCAAACTCCTCAACGACAGCACCAAGCCTGTGGGGCTCATCCTGAGTGAGAGGTTCATCAATGTCCCTCCACAGATTGCTCTGCCCATGCACCAGCAGCTCCAGTGAGTTTTTGATATTTTTTTTCCTTGCGTGATGCTGAATGGTTATTTTTCATCATATTTTTCAGAATTTTCATGTATGCAGAGCTGTGTTAAGACAGTTGATGCTATAGATATGAGTAAAGCATGAACAATAAAAATATTATCTCATATATGGTCTTTAGTTAATTTTTAAAATATTTTTTACATATTTATAAAGGTACAAAACTTTCTCAAGTTCTATAGAGGATATGATTTGGGAACATGTGCTGTTCTACAGAAATAGCTGTGTGTATGTTGCAGTTTATCCTTGTATTGCAGATTATTTTCACACTGATCTAGGAAAATTTACAAATGAGAACTCTTTTAGCAGCTTGGGTGTTTCTGTGTTAATGTCTGGCTCAGGAATGGGAAATTTGGACTGAGGGAAAGGATTCAAAGGTGAACTAGTTTTGACCCATGTAAATATGCAGTGTTTTGATTAGTTTCAAGTAATGAAAAAGCAGGGGAAGTGCTGGTTGATCCCTGCTAATTCATGGATTATATCAAAATCTGGGTGAATGTAAATAAATTAATCCACTGAAACACAGCATTACATTATTTTAGTGTTGTGCTGAGAACTGGGAACAAGGAAGTTTTGTTGGATAAGGAGCCAGTAATAGAATGGAGATCATCTCTTTTTCTTCTTTCATTTTTGCCTTCTTTTTTCTTATGTGAGATGAGATTAGAAATCAGATTGAGGTCACCACAAATACAGCACTTGTCACAGCTCAAATGCAGATCTCAGCCTCTTTGTCTTAAAGGTTTTAGAGTGACAACATGTTGAACACAAGGGTGAGCAAGGGTGTCTTTTCAGTTACAATTCCTCAAGGAAGTGATAATGTGATGTATTTTTAAGGAGAGTTGCACTTAAGATCATTTCACAGACACTGCCATGAACAGGATTCTGGGAAAAAAGGGTTATCCTGTAAGCTGAGAAAAAACATCCATATTTTTATAGTTAAAAGTACAAATAGTATGTTTAACTACCAGAAATGCATCTGCAATATTGATTTCCTAAGGTAGCTATAAAAGAATAGGCTGCAATTTGAATATAATTTCAATACCACTACATTATAAGGCTTGTTTATATGCATGTTTAGGATCTAAGTTGTGTAAACATTTATTCCTCTTTAGGAAGGAGCTGACTGAGGCACAGAGAACAAACAAACCCTGTGGGAAGTGCCACTATTACCTCCTTATCAGCAAGACCTTTACAGAGGCCACAAAGAGCAATTCTAAGAGGAAGGAAGGGAGGAATCAGCCAAAGGAGGAATTAATGTTTGCAAATGCAGAGGAGGAATTCTTTCATGAGGTAACATGATTGCTTAATTTAAAATGCTTCATTTTCTTTACATATCATCAACAAGAGATGTTTCACCTCAAATTCAAGGGTAGCTTTTATCAAGATGATCACAAATGTTTTGAAATTTAATCCAGGGTGTTTTGGAATAGTGTTGAGAGAGGAGCAATCAAACTCTTTTTGTGTATTGATTTATCTGTTCCCTCTTGGGTACCTGTTACTTGCAAAAAATGCTCAGAATAAAAACTTCAGGAGACCTAAGAGGTATGTCTTGCTTCCCTTTTCTATCTCTATTCTACTCAGGGCAAGTACATTAATAAAAAGTAGTGGAACATTGAGATGAAAATATTATTTCCCATTTCCTAAGGCAACATGGCCACACAATTCTGCTGGTCCCAAGCCAGATCAGGTCAGGGGAAAATGCAGGAAATTAAATTTAAGATGTGCTTTGAAATGCAAAGAATTTTTCATGGCTTCTTTTTTTTTTTTTTTTTTTTTTTTTTTTTTTTTTTTTTTTTTTTTTTTTTTTTTTTTTTTTTTTTTTTTTTTTTTTTTTTTTTTTNTTTTTTTTTTTTTTTTTTTTTTTTTTTTTTTTTTTTTTTTTTTTTTTTTTTTTTTTTTGTTCCCAAAGCTTTAAAACCACTATTATACAATATCATTACTTTGTCAAGAGGCTGTTATTTTTCTGTTATTTTTCATTTCTGGCAGTGCCTGCAGGGCAAAGAACTTGCACATGCTTGGGGTGGTAAATGGCAAAGGTTCTTGGGTGTAATCATTCTGACAGAGGCTGTGATAGGGCTGTAATTTTATTTTTTTTGGGAATGAGAGAAATGTAAGTGGGGGAATTCACTGGTAGCTGTAGGGAATTGTGCTGTAGCCTCTGTGCAGTAGCAACTTGTGGATTTTGTCTTTGTGTTCCTGCCACAGCAGCTGAAACAGCTGAGGCTGAACTCTGTGTAAAATGTTATTGAAAAGCTGCTGGGGAGAAGCCTGTGAAGCTTGTGTGTCCATGGGTGTTCTGCTGTAGAAGGCCCATTTTGTATTTCTTTATTTATTAAAGGCTAATTGTGTGCTTTCATCTAAACTCCAGTAATTCTCAGCTCAAAAGGATAGACTCAAACTGAGCATGTTTTTCTTTTTAACAGTCTTTCCAGGGTTTAAAAAAAAATCATTTTAAACATTATGTAGGGTATTAAATTCAATGTCTCTCTGTACTTAATAATATGTGTGTTAAATTAGTGCTCCCTGATCACACATAATGTTAATTAGATTGCCATAAAATAGCATGAAATGTGGTGAGGCACTTGGAGTTGGCACAACGCTGGGCTTCATTCTGTCCCTTAAAGTTCTAACTAGAAAATCTATTATAACCAGACTTGGAATTGATTAAAGGAGCTCAAATTGTTCTTGAGCAAAGCCACTCAGTTAGTGTGGTAACTCAGCCAAAATGAGATTTAAAGCCCTGATAGATTGTTAGTGGAAAGTGAGCCCAAAAGGAGAGTGGATCCTGGTTTTCCTCCAAAGGGAAGGAATCAGGTAAGTTTTTCTTCTTAATGGTTCAGCTCAGAGTTCTTCATCTGATTTGTGTGAGAACTGGAAACATTCATTAGGTTATTTTTCTCATCCACCAGGAATCTTGTCTAGGAAAGCTGATGAAAAGAGATTTTCTCTATGGGGTCCCTGAAAAGAACCAATGCACATTCTAGACACCTGCCTGTTTGGAGAAGCATAATTAGATCTTCCAGTTGCTTCAGCCATCTGGAACCTTTCCAAGAGCTCTCTGAAATTCTCCTCAGGATTGATTTGGTGTCCATCCCCTTAATGTTTGATTTGTACTCATATTCGTACAGATTTGTAAACTTTTAGGACTCTGGGCAGAGTAGGTCCTGAAAGCAGCAGAGCCTCAGAACATTGATTTTTTTTTTTTTTTGCCCTCCTTCCTAGGTTGTTTCTCTCATCCCAAATTATAATGGCAGCAATCATTATAGGATTTAACATGAAAGATGTAAATTCTGTGAAAATAAAATGTTTGTTTAAAATACTTCAAATAGTGGATTTTTTGGTTGTTCTTTTTGGTAGACACTTCAGGAGGGAAAAAAAAAACTTACTAATAAGGATGGGCATAATAGATTCATTATTTTCACTTTGTTTAGATGATGTATTATCTTAATGGCAGTTAAACATTTTAATCTGAATGGTTTTATTTTCTGTTGCTTAGAAGGCCCTTCTGAAATTCAACTACTCTGTTCAAGAGGAAAGTGACACCTGTCTGGGTGGCAGATGGTCCTTTGATGATGTCCCCATGAAGCCTCTGAGGACAGTTATTGTAGTTCCAGCTGATGGAATCCATGGAATTATGGATAAACTCAAAGATTATCTCTCTCTCTGAGCTTCCCTACAAACACCAGGTTTTTATGGAGCAGCCATGCAGGACTGTGACCTCACACTATTTGCAGAACTGCTGTTGAGTCAACGGTTTTGTACAACTAAAAATATCCACCAAAAATGAATATTTTTAAATATAGCATCTTATTTTACTTTGATATCATCATGAAGCAGTCAATAAAAGCCCAGTGTCAAAAGAAATCCTGAATATCTGTTCAGTGTGTTTTTAAACAAAGCTAAATCACATGGTTTTGTTCCAAAGTAATACATGCAACTCCTTTTGTTGAGAAAAATGCCTTTTCTTTGTTTCTTCTGTTAAATATATTTATGTCAAAAGTTTGAAATAATTACATGGGTTAAGGTGGGGATGTGTTTTGGATATGTTGCTTTTATTTATTGTTGTCCAATATGTGGTGGTTCAGTCTACATTCACTGAATAACACATCTCTGCTCAGTGTGAGTTTGGGGAAATTCCTCATTTTCTTTGCTGTCACTGACAGTTTTCTGTTCCTCCTTTGTGGCTGAAACAGGTGCCAAGTGATTGATCACTTCCTGCAGAATATCCTTGCTTTCACTTGGAGGAAGATTACTGAAATAATACTGAGGTACCAGCTCTGCAAATCTGGGGAGGAAATCACACAAAACATTATTAATTTTTAATTGATTTTTGAAATACTCGAATAATTATTTCCAGACATATCTAAAAAAATCTACGAAGTTGATATTTCAACCCAAAACTCTCCAAGAATACAAGATTCTCTGCAAGATATAGTAAGAGTTTGTGCTTTTAGGAGCCTGGCAGTGAAAATCCTCAGCCTGCACTTGAGTTGCAATGCAGTTCCCAGTGCTGCAGGTTGCATGAAATAAGAATTTCCCTGCTTTAGAACACAGTGGTTCAATAACATTATGATAAAAGCTCTCCTATAAACATGGGAAATAGAAAAGATGGGAGAGTGAAATGTATAGTCTTTGTGTAAAGATATTTTTGCAGAAGGAAGATTCTGGTCTCTCCCTGAGTCCATAAACAGGCCATGATTCAGCTCGCTGGGTACAGAAAATATGTTAGAAAAGGATTTGCTGGAAAATAGGTTTCAGAGAACAAAGACCTTTCCAGCTGTATTCACATGTGAGTGCACTGCTCTGTTAACTCTGAATTTTTTTCTATATATTTTACCTTGTAAGAAACTTTTGCAGGTCATAATGTGGGCTTTTTTGATTACTGTTACAGTGGCACCTACTGAGAATACAGATCTTCCCTTTTAATTTTTTTTTATCCTCCCAAAGTGATGATTTTGTGGACTTAGGAGTGAAGGAGGAGCTGCATCACAGTTCACTTACAGATGGGGGGAGATCTCAGAGACAACTCGGATGGAATTGCCCTCAGAGATGCTGAACTCATGGAATAAAACCCACTCTGGAATCCTCCTGGTGCTGTAATAGGATGAGAAGGGGTGGAGCTGGGCCACTTGTTTGTGTGTTAGCATTAAGTAGTTCCCTGAGCCATCCACATCACGAGCAACCTAAAAAAAGCAACAATGTGGAGAGTTATCCATCATTTAATTGATCAGTGCCTTTTAGATTTAAACCAGAAATTAAACTTCCTTTCAGATACTTTCAACTTCCTAAGTTTGTGTGGGAAATCTTGGGATTGGATACCATGAAATGAGACTTAAAGAAAATGTTGTATTTTGAAAGGAAGCTGCAACAAATAAGTATAATAATCTGAGTTTGGCTGTGAAGGGTCTGTGAAAACATAGAAACATGTATTGTTTAGCACATCCACTTTTCATAGACTTATAAATCCAATGTGTCAGGCTATGAAATGTGCAGGTGGGAGAGCTCATTTTTGTGTTGAGATGGAGCATAGGGATGTGAAGGAAAGCCTGGGGACTCAAGTGGGAATAAATCAATCTAGTTTACATTTACAATTACAGTTAGAGTGCCTTCCTGAAATGAGGCAAGCTGTCTCTTATGCACACCTAAATATATCCAAGTCACTTCTCTATTTTCAGGCAATTTTCACCTTCAAAAAGATCGAGATAATTCCTGAGAGAATATTGGAATTTCAAGAGGTTTTTTAAGGTGTAAGAGTTCTTTGAGGGAAGGGCATATTGGCAGTTTTTTTATTGCTGTGGAGACTCTGAACTCCAAGCAGTGAGAGATGAACCCCAGAGAAAAGACTGAAAGGGGAGGAATTGTTTGATACATTGGGAAAAAAAGGCTTTTATGGTAATCAAGAGATTTCACTAATGAACCTAAGCTTTCTGAAAGCATTCTACATAATTTAACAGTGCAAGAAGATGAAACCACAGTGTTTTTCCTTACATGCATGAAGTAACCAGATAAAAGAGCTTTCTTAATGCTTAGCAGATTTGCTTCTGATGCAAAGTCTGGTTCTGAGATGGGAAGTTCGATGCGTTTCATGATCTCCACCAGCTCGGCTCTGATCATCTCTGCCATGCTCAGAGCTGAGCAGCTCAGGAAATAATCACGGCACCATTTCTCACTGCTGAAGTCTGTGGGGGAAAAAACAATGTTTTGGCTTAAAGCAGGATCTCACTGATGCGTGCAATCCACAGAGGTGCTGCCTCAACACCTTTTGTTCATCCTAAACTTGGATTTTGTGCTTCTACAGGAGGAGCCATCATTCTGGTTTTGCACGGTGTCACTTCAAAGGACAGTTGGAACAGTGGTCATGGATTCCTGTTGGGTAAGAGATGCTGTCCTAGGATGTTTTTAATTAATTAATAAATTAATATTCATCAGCAATATCTACTCACTTAGTGTGGCAAGCACATTTCTCTCCCTCTCAGGATTTTTCATAGAGGAGCACAGAGAGAAATGAAAGAGAAAACCATTTCTATTTCTGCTCATTGTTTTTCCTATGTGGAATGGGTTTGGAGAATTGTTTCCTTGGGGTGATGCTTGGCTGGATTCTGGTGAGGATTGTTGGAGCCTGATGGCCAATCCAATCCAATCCAATCCAATCCAATCCAATCCAATCCAATCCAATCCAACCCAATCCAATCCAATCCAATCCAATCCAATCCAACCCAACCCAACCCAATCCAACCCAATACAATACAATCCAGTCCAGTCCAACCCAACCCAATCCAATCCAATCCAATCCAATCCAACCCAACCCAACCTAAATCCAATCCAATCCACCTGTGGCTGTACTCTTGAGAGAGGGTCACAAGTTGGGTTAGAGTCAGAGAAAGTAGTATGTAGTTTTAGTATCCTCCTTTTATACAGTATATTGATGTATTTTAGCATAGTTATAATAAAGAAATCATTCAGCTTTCTGAATTGAGTCAGACATCCTCATTTTTTCCCATTGGGTTCGCCTTCATTTACAATACCCATAGGTTTCTCCCATAGGTATCAGCCATTCTAGAAAGAATCACCAGATTTTTTGGGTTTGTTCTTTTTCCAAACTGGTCCCAGTGTGCTTGATTTTGGCTCGGGCACACTTGCCTGGGTGTGTGGGGCTGGCAGTGGCTGCCTTGAAGGCGTTGAAGACGTTGATGAGGGTGAAGTGATCTCCTGCAGGGTGGGAGAAGCGGTGCCAGCGGCTCCGAGCGATCTCCTCTGTGCCAGGAGGGGCGTGCAGGAAGCAGCTGGGAGCTGAGGAGAAAACCAGGCCAGTGCTGAAAACACAGAGGGCATGCACAAAACCCCGCTGGTATTTTTGGGTTTTTCCTTCCTCGGTTGCCTTTAACCCCCAGTATTGGATTGGTGCTGAAGAACTGAACCTGCTGCATTCACTAAGGGTTTATTCCTGTGGGTGTCTTTCCAGTCTTGTTTTGTGGGAATCAGAAAAACAGAAACTCCCACAGACACAGATCTCAGAAACACAGAAAAACAGAAAATCAGAAAAACAGAAGCTCACACAGACATTGATCTGCAGCCTTGGAAGAAGCTTGGATTGATGTAAAAATACACAGATATCAAGCAGAAAACCCCTAAACTCATATTTCTATAGTTGTAAGCAAGAATATGCCTCAAGTAAGTGAGAAACTGTGTGGGTAAGATGGTGAAGGGTTTCTAATGTTAGGGTGGGGTTGTATGGAACAAGCTGAGAGTTTAGAAGTTTTAACAGAAGCAGATGTGTGCCTGTGAGTTAGAAGCCCACTGGACAAAAGTATCCACAGAGCAGCAGAAGTGAGTAAAGGTGATGGGTTAGAAAAGCAAAATAAACCCTGTGGCAGCTGTCATTGGGTTAGAAAGTTCTGCACTGCCTTGTAACCAAGAACTTGTGACTGCTCTTGAGCTGTGGCCGAATGCCTGCTCCTCTAAAATCTGAGACTGATGTTTATCTGAGCAATAAATCATTCTTAGCCTGAAAATTTCTAGTGGTGACAATGATATTGTTTAGTTAATGTGTGTTGCAAAAACAAAAGAGCAGCTTTCTCCCAGGCTGATGCCAAAAAGAGCTTCCTAATGTCACAACCTAATTCAGCTAGAATCCAACAAATGGTTTCTTTATTATAAAAAGACATCTTTTGATTTAATGCCTTAATTTGCCTCTCTATGTTGAAATTTCTGCTTTCCAGTGCATTTTACTTTTGTGTCTGTTGAGGTGATTGAGCTTTTCTAAAATTGAATTGTGCCTATGCTCAAACATTTACATTTGTTATATGTACTTTATAAAAACTATCACAGGTTAACAATCAACCCACTTTTGGCATAAAAAGTTGTCCTACAAGGAGAACAACTCATGCAGCTTGATATCCTGTGGTTCATGTGTTTGCTGCCCAAGACTCCAAGGTTATGTCAGTTTTATAAATTATTTGAAGTAGAGAGACAAGATCACAAAGTAATTTTTTGTAGGTAAACAGTTCAATGTCGTTTCATAATTAGAACTTCCCCTATTTTGCTGCACCTATCTGTCACAAATGTAGATAATTATAAGAAAGTTTCATTTTGGTTTCTGACAAAAGGGAGGAAGCCAATGGGCAGCTGAAGCCTGGAAATTGAATTCTCTATGGGAATTTTTTACTTAGCTTTCATTGTGTCCTTACAGTTAAGACTTGAACAGCCAGATATATTCATTTACTTGAAATAAGCAGGATGAGAATAACAAAAATTTGCTTTTGTGGGTAGATTTGGAAGGAGTCTGGATTGGGCAGGTGGCACAAGGGCTGCAGTGAGAGCTGATCCAGGAGTACCTGTGACCATGGCTGCAATGGTGAGCATCTCATCCACACACTCAAATTCACAGGAAGCCAGCAGTGACTTGGACAGCTGAGGATCCAGGGGGAATTCTGACATAATAATCCCAAATTCAGAGAGGTTTCCATCGTTATCCAGCGCTGCCAGATAATCCAGATCTTCCAAAGCCTGCATCAGGCTTTCAGGAGCTAAGGAAGAGGGAAGAGAATTCCAGTTCTTGAGAGTGGCTACACAGGAATGAATGCCTGAATTCTCATTATAATATTTCAGCTGAGGGAAAATGATACTTCTTTTATTTGACAGTGATTAAGAACAAAAAGTAATGGATGAATGGAAGGCTGAGAAAATTCTGGAGGAAGAAAATAAGAGGTAACAATCATAGAGCTGCAAATCACTTTGTTGATGCTTTTAATGTCAGAACAATTTTTGTCAAAAGCCCAGACACAATCCCCAATACCCCTAGACTCTGCCAAAATTGCTTCCATTACTGGAAGTTTTCAGGTGGGTTTTTAATGTTCATTCTTTTTTAAGAGGTGTGGTCATGCTTGAGGGATGCTGAGATACGGAACAGGTTTAGGAAAGAGCTTTTTTAACCAGAGGAGATATTCTGATTTTATAGAAGTTATGACTGTTATTCTTGCAGGTATTTTGAGTTCTCTTGGTTGCCTTTTTAATTATAATACTTCTTTTACATAGGTTCTCATAATACTAGAAGAAAAATGGGAATGTAGTAAAAGAAGATGTCTCCCTAGCAATTGGCTGTACTTTCTCACTCCACAAAATTCAGTGTTCAGTTTTTCCTTAGTGTGGGTTATAACTTCCTTACAACCTCCATAGGTTGAAGTGAGAACAGTGAGGCAGCAAAAAATAATGAGGGAATATAAGAAAATGTCCTGAGAGGACAGGATTAAACAAATCAACACTTAAAATTAGGACTTGAGCAGGCCTGGAGGAAATCTGATGGTGATAAAAGGAGGTCAAACAAGCCCAGAAGAGCTTTATGTGGTCGAGAGAGGGAACCTCGAGTTGAGGTTGTCAGGCCTACACTCCAAAAAATTGTTGCCAGAGCATGAAAAACATGGTGGAAATTTGGGAACTCCTGAAGTGTGAAGTTTCTTTAAGGTTCTTTCCTCCCAGCTCTTTTCCAAGGTGGATTTCTATTCCAGGTTATATTGAATATATCTTTCATGGGTAGCTGTTCATTTACATTCACAACTGCTCTCCAAGCACTGCAGCAACTTTCTCCTTACTCCAGCCTAAGGATCTGGTTGATATTTTCTCAGTTTTATGGATAACAAGTTGTATTTGAAGCTGGTGGCAGAAATTCCACTGCAGCAGGACTTGGCCTCATCCCCAGCCCTGGGAAGCTGCACTGGCCATTTGTCAGCTGCTGTCAGCTGGACATTAATGGGGAAAAATCCCCAAATAAAATAACCAGCCCACAAGCACAGCTGCCCACACAGGCAGGGGGTGGATTTGCACTTGGATCTTCATTAGTAGATGACTAGAAATAATTTCTTGCATTCATTAAGAGTGGGAATGTGTATGGCATCACCAAGACTAAAACAAAGCAAGGCTGTAATTAGCTGCTAGGTCACATTCAGCCACACTTTGCCCACACATTCTGCAAGAAAATCTTGAGATCAGGTTTGGACTGCATTGGCAGGGAACTGTTTATTGCCATCTCTCTGGAATTAACTACTTATAGTCAAGGAAAAAGTAAAATGGGAAGCAAACAAGCACCTGTTGTTTTTAACCTCATTCTGTTGTGTCTGAAGGGGGAAAATAGTTTATTAATTCCCCTTACATGAGCTCTTCCAGAACTTCTCCAGCATCTCAATCTGCTAATGGGACTTTAGTTAAGTTTAAAACACCCAATTTTCAGACAAAGTCTCTCAGGAACCTGCAAATTCCTTTTAAAACTGGACCTGCTTCATTTCAGTCTCAGAGTTCTTCCCTCTGCCTGCACAATTCTATCTAGAGAGGACATTTATTACAAGAAATGTGGGGTTTAGTGGATTAAATTATGAGTCCTTGCAAAAGCTGAAGTGTCTGAGAAGAAAATACTTAGGAGTTTTAAAGAAATGAGAAGTAGCAGCTGATGATGAATAAGAGTCAGTGACATGAAATAAAAATCAGTGATTGAAAATCAGGGATAGTAAAAGGGTCACTCAGATGTGTAGTAATTACTAGGAGATCATGGAAAGCTATTTTCCAGAATTCAACAAAGTAGTTTGTGCTAGAGCTCACAAAATACATGGTTATATGGCAGCCAATTTCAACCCCTTGATAGCATCAGTAATTTGCATTTTTATGCCCTAGAGTTAGTTGTCTTGAGATTTATAAGCACAAATTACTTCCCTGTCTTGATATGAGTATTCTGGAAAAAAAATAGATAAAAGGAAAAAAAAAAAGATTCCTGGAGTTTTATTGATCTAGAAAGGACAAGACAGTAAAGGTGGATTAGAGCAGGTGAAGGAATAGTAAAAAAGCAAAAATAAAAAAGCAGAGTGGGGCTTTTTAGGGTTTCTTGTCATCAGCAGCCACTGCTGCCTTGAGGTGTGAACCACGAGGATTTGTGACTCCACTGCTGCTTTCACAGCAGCAAAGTTCAAAAAACCTCTCAAGATGTGTCCTGTGCTTTCAACAAGAAACTGTCACATCCCTGGAATTTTAAAAGGTATTTCCTAATCTGGCATTTTCTTTCCCTGCTCTGTGTTCTTTGGCTGCTCAAGACTGGGTTGCTCTGGACTCATTTCAGGAAATCTGACCAGTTTTATGTAAATACAGATCATGCTTTTGATCCTTCTTAGGCTTAGTAAAGCAAATATATAACAATGTTATTGTTAGCACTGGAATCATTTCTCTGAGAGTTTCAAGCTACTTAATTATATTCTTGGTTTCATGTTTCTGTAACTTTGATGTGAACAGAGTAAATTCTGTCTCTAAAGGCAGCTACACCTGAAGTCTTCAGCACCACATCCCATATGGCTGAAATGCAAGTGCTCAGGGTGTGAGCAGATAAATTCAAAAGTATTATTTTTCTTGCATTAGGAGGCAAGTGATTTAGAGATTTGGTCAAAGTTCTGTAATAAATGGATATTAGAGATAGGCATGAAACTTTTGTGATGTTTAATAGTGCATTTAATTGCTCTCTTGTGCTTCTCTGGAGCTCCACAGCTCCTGTGTTCTGGTCTCCTACTCTGCAAATGCTGAGTATGTAAAATACCTTTTGTGATAGATCTTTTCCTTCCAGAGGAATAACTTAAAAAGTTAGAGCTGCCATGGATGTCAGGTGAAGGGATGTTGTCTTTAAGGAGCTGATGCTCTGCCTGGCTCTCCACAGGTTTTGCAGGTTTTGTTGGGCTGGAGAGCAGAAAGAACTGCCCAAATAATTCCTGCAGGGAGGGCAGTCCTGGGGAAGGGTGATTGCTGTTCCTGGTTTCTGACACTGCTCCCTGGACAGCAAACTGCAAAGGTGGAGGAGTCTATGCCAGGTTTTCCTCAAATTATGCAAAGATTTTTCTTCTGCAAGCACAAGTTTCTCTGTGCAGGTTTCCTCCTGATCCTCTTTTCCCCCTTGTACGTTCTGAGTCAGGATTTTTTATGTGTCTGTTTTGCTCTGAAGCCACCATTTTATAATTATTATTTTGAAATGATAGTTGATCATTAAAAATTACTTCCCCAAGCTCATACTTTGCAGTATTTTTATTCCCCTTCATGCTGCTTCACGACTCCTCCACTCTGGCTGGTGATGGTTCCTGCTGTGATTTTCTGCTAGCAGGGACAGCTGGGACAGGGCCTGGCCTGTCCTGTCAGAATATACTGAATAATGTCTGCACACATCAATGAATTGATGAAATCCAGAATTTAATACATCAAAGAATTAACAAGTAAATTTAAGATAATAAATCTGCCCTGAAGTGATCTCTGTTGAGCAGAGCTTACATGGTGCATTGAGTTTCTGTCTTTGACAGTCTCCAGTGAAAATATGCCAACAATTTATTTCTCTGAAACAATTTGAAATGATATAAATTTATACAACTCTTGTTATTCTGGATTTTCTAGAAATATATTCTCCAGGGGGTTGTAAAATCATAGCTCTCAAATGTAATGGTCGTGACCATGGATATACCTTTAATGTCAAAATTGTTTAGGGAAATTCTGAATGAGTACAGAATCTGCAAATGCTTTCCCTTTGATCCCACAGGGAAATTTTACATGGCTTCATCTTTCTAATGATTCACTTAGTTTAAATAAGGATTTTCCAGTGATTTACAAAAGTACTCAACATTGCTGCAATCTATGGGCCTGGGCTTCTTTTGTCCCATTATAAACCCCAGCAAAGATCTATCTGATTTACTGATCAAAATGTAAACACATCCCTGTTCTAGGAATCCCCCTAATGCACTTTGGAGCTGCAGTGCCAGGTTCATTTTCCTCTGGCTCACGGATTCCAGAAAAGGGAATGAGCTCTGCTGCATTTGCTGCTCTCCATTATGGCATGAATTAAATGCAGCAGCTGCAAGCCTGACATGTTTGTTGCTTTCATAATGCAGTAATGAGTCAGACCTAATCCAGGCTTTTATTTCTCCTCAAAGAGCAGAAAAAAAAAAAAAAAGAATCCCTTGTGCACATTGTTGCTGAGCAGAAATAAAATGCTTTACTGCTGTATTTTTTATCTCTTATCTGCTGCATGTTCTCCATGTGCAGGAAACAGGTTGGGAAGTACTTCTTGCTATGAATTTCAGTGTCCTTCTGATTTGTTTGTTCATGCCCATGTCTTACTCTGTCATCTCAGTGAAAACCTGACTTTGTTTAGGAGAAATTCTCCTAAAACCCCCAAAGCCTCTCTCTGATTCAGCTGCAAAGACAAGGTGAGAACTGTTGGACAGAATCAGTGCAGAGGGAGCCTGTGGCACGCAGGGGATGCTGAGATGTTTTTACTCCTTTTACTCCAAGGGAACTCAGCTCCAAGGAGTCATGGAAGAGTTAAACCCATGGCAGGGCTTTGGAACTGGGTGATCTTTATTGTCCCTCCCAGCCCAAACCATTCTTGGGATTGTGTGCTTGAAAGCCTGAAATTATGAAGTCAGGGGAAAAAAAAAAGGCAAGTTCCTTCACTCTCTTACCTCAAAATTCAGGGTTTTCCCTGCCTAGTATTGAAAGTGTATTTGGGTTTATTTGATAAGGAATATTGGGTTGAGTTCTGTGAGCTGGTCCAGCACAAGAACTGACTCCCCTGACAAATTTCTCCCTTGGGTGCTGCAGTTTCTTTGAGAGAATTTCACAGCAGGCACTTCAAACTCTGTGCTGTGACTGTGGGAGCTTTGCACTCATCTCTGGAGGATCCTGTAGGGATCAATCTGTTACTCTGATTTTTAAGATTTTCTAAAACTTTTTTGAGTTCACATTCTGTTAAAAAACTTTCCCACACATTTTCTATAAACAACATGTTGTTTTGCATTCCTTTGTGGGGGTAGAAGAAGTTGATGTACTGGTGGTTTGTCCAATGTCTGGAGAGGTGGCCCATTCACTCTCCAATCCACTGTCACCTTTGGAAAAGTATAAAAGTTGGAGTCAGAAGAATAAACTTTCTTCTTTTTTGCCTCACCACCATAGTGGCTCGTGTTGTGCTTTCTCGTGTCCTATAGCAACATCAATCCAAGGAGGAAAAAAGTTCAGTGCCTGCTCCAAAGTGGAAAGAAAGCCAGGGTGGGATGTGATGTCCTGGTTAAAGGAAGAGCTGTGCTGGATCATCAAAGCTGTGTCCCAAATGTTTCATTGTGTAAGGCAGGAAGCAGACAAGGAAATTGTGCAGATTTTCCCCTCTCCTTTCAATGTTTGTGGGATTTTTTTTCTTTGTTCAGCCCGTTGCCCACTGTACTTAGTGGACAATCATTTAGTAATTCTAATTCCTAAAACTGCTCAGTACCTGCACCTGACACTCTTGATCTAAGCAGCAAAAGCCTTGTCCTATGTGATGTCCATCCAAGCCGAGCCAATTATTTCACTCCTCAATTACATGTACCATTTCTCACACACCAGGTCAATGCTTTCTTCAGCTGCATTATCCAAAAATACAGCCAAAACTTAGAATTCCTGCGCCTGTAAAACCCTTATGTGGCTCAAACATTTCATTGTCGCTGAATGCTGTCCCCATTGTCCCTTTAAATCCAAAAATGCCAAATGCTTTCCCTCATATAATTTTACTAATTCTTTCTACAGTTCAACTTTCTTCATATCCAGGAAAAGCATAAATATGTTTTAGCTTTCTTTTTTTCAGTAGTAAAATACATTTTAAATTTGAGTAGGAGCAAACTGTGTTCCATACAGATTTCATGGGTTCAGCACAGGAGATAACACTCACAAGGCCAAAATACTGCAATTCCATTGGTTTTGAATCAATTGCCATCAGACTCCTATTTCTTTTAGGCTTATTTCAGCTAAACAGACACACAAGGGAAAAGTAGAATAAATTTTTCTTTAAAATTCCACTTAACTCTGTATTGCAACATCCAACAGTGAGAACTAACACTTTATTACTGATTAATTACATATAGAAGAGGAGAGATCATTCCAATTTTGTGTATGTGCACGAGGAAAGGCAGGATAATATAAGAATTTTTCCTGTTTGCACTGGAAAATTATGAATGAAGCCAGCAATTCCCAAACCAATGAAATCAGGGCTATTTTCCTTACTTTAATGGGTTTCAAAGCAACAGCAGAACCTGCAGTGGCACTTGGGGTTTGTGATAAGCCAGAACAGAGGAAAATATCCTTCTATAGAAAAACCTGAAGTTATGAAGTCAGGGGGAAAAATAGGCAACTTCCTTCACTCTCTTACCTCAAAATTCAGGGTTTTCCCTGCCTAGTATTAAAAGTGTATTTGGGTTTATTTTATAAGGAATATTGTCTTTGAGGAACAGCCCATTGTAAATTTGAGGTGGGAGATGCTGGAGGATAAAGAGGAAGCTCATTTCCTCCACACACATCCCCCAGGTAACATCAGTGGTTTATTTGGGTTGTAAACTTTTGATTAAAGGAATATATTTTGTTGGATATCTGTACAATACCTTGTACAACAGGGCACAAATTTTCTTTGTGGCTTACAGGAAAATAATATGTAACCTAGATAAGGAGATACTTGGAATATTGATTTTTTTTTTTAGCATTCCAATTCCATTCAGACACTTTATGGTCTTTTTTTCTAAGTGCTATTGAGCTGAGAATGGCTGTAGCAGCTAAGTGAGAAAAGCAGGGTGATATTATTAGAAGTCCTCAAATAAAAAAATCCTATGAGCAACAGGGCAAAATTGACCTGGAAAGAACTTCTAAAATAATGATAAAAATATGATAATTGGTGCATCCCCTTACCTGGGCTGCTGATGAAGTCACAGTGAGCAAAGCCTGCTATGTCCATCCTCTTCAGGAACAGCACCAAGCTGGTGAGCTTGGATTCCTGAACTTTAGCTGGAATTTCTGGCTTCATTTCCTTGTATGTAAATTCTTCAGGATACAAGCAGAAGATTTTCCCTGGAAGAGAATCCAGGAAAATTACCTTTTTTTAAAATGCTTCCTCCTCACGTCGCCGCGTTGATCGCATTAATTAATTTGAGCTAATGGATTGAAATGTTGAGCTAATATTTCTACCTGATGGAGACATGCCCAGAATTTGTTTATGCATCTCTGCTTGACTTTGGCTGATAGGCTGGGTTAGAACAGAGTCTGCTCTGATTCTAGGATTGTACACCTTTAAATGAAAGAGATACCAAGCATCAGACAAGTACACAAGGGCTGCAAAAATATGAATGGTCTGTACTGAATTTCTCTCTAGGTCATTTAACAGAAAGGGTAGGAACAGTTTTCATTTCTTTTTGGTTCAGCAGCTTGGGAAGGAGAGCACTCAGCACCCTGACAAACTGACAGATGTTTTGCAGTCACTCTAAGTGTGCTTTGAGATAAATGTCTTTTTTTTCCTCCTGAAGAAATGTACCTTATTAAAGCAGAAAATGGTATCATCAAGAAAAACATCAGAAAATATTATTTATTTCTTGCAGTGACAGAATCCCAACATTTTCTGATAGCATTTTGCTCCCTAACACCAGATTTTTGTCTTAATACTGAAATTATAGGAGACAAGGGTTGCATTAAATATATGATGCCATGTTTTATATTTTTCTTAATTATGCTTTATTTGGATTAAGGTGAGGAGCTGATTCACTCCCTGCTCTGGCCACAGGCCTGTAGTGTCCAGCAAGACACAAAACTGCCTGGAAAAGGCAGCTCTCTACTCCTGCCATCTGAGTCAACTCTATCTGCTTTAAGTAGAGTTTTCATTAAAAAAAAAAAAAAAAATATATATATATATATATATCCTTCAGTGGAGAGCACAGATTTCTTTTCCTGCAAGTGAATTGCTGATTTTGAGTGGGAATTTGAACTGGTGAGGGAGGAATATCACAGGACTAAACCAAATAATTGAATTAAAGGTGAAAATTGCATCACTGATAGAGGTGATTTAATAAACATCAGGACTCTTGGATCTGTTTGTTCCCATTGATTTGTATTTTAAATTCACAAAATTTGTAATTGGTGGAATTGTACTTTGACCTTCAGGTTTCCATGGCAGTGAAACCCATTTCTGCCATGCAAGAAAATTGCTGTTGTAGGAATAAGTTTAATTGGTCTAATTGAAAATTGCTTTGGCTCTTCTTCCTTGCACACAAAACTGTAATTTTTAAACTTGCCTTGAGACTGAGTTAATTCATAATTCCCAGTTAAAAACCTTTTAAAATGACAGGTTTTTTTGCAATGCAAATGAAAGCTACTGGTTGGTAGTTCACAAGTTTTTCCCTGAAATACTTGCAAGGTCAATCAGGATTAATGATCCCTGTTCCAAAATTTTAGGGACACTTAACTCCAATTTTGGTTATTCCACCTTGTACTATAGAAAGGAAATACATTACAATGTTTCTTTTGCCTGTCACTGGAATTTTTATTTTAACCAGGACAGTTACAAAACCTGTAGTAGTGCAGCTCGCAAGTTCATGTTCCTACACGGTTACTCATCCTTTAGGACATCAGTTGTATAGAAATAAAACAAATGAGAATTTTGAGAATTTTTTTGGGTTTTTTTTTTTGGGTTTTTTTTTGGGTTTTTTTTTTTTTTTTTTTTTTTTTTTTTTTTTTTTTTTTTTTTTTTTTTTTTTTTTTTTTTTTTTTTTTTTTGCAGCTGCATTAATCCTTCCCAGGTTGAAAAACAAGAAATGAGGGCAAACTTAGAATAAACTGGAAAAGGTTAAGTATTAATAAGATAAATTAATTAATTTGATTAATTCATCTAATTATTTCTAATGCAATTAGATAAATTGCAGCATTTGGATGGGAGCACATGTCCAGGAGGAGCACAAGCAGCTTGAAAAAATAGAGATTCTGTGTGAGCAATTACTAAGTCATTAAATAAGGGATGAGAATAATCTCCTAAACCAGGAGATCTCCCAATAGGTGCCTAAGAAGTGATTTTATTTTGCTTTATGCATAAAATACTGAAGAGACATTCATGACTGATAGGCCAGAACTCAGGTGAAATGCATTTTGCAAACAATCTGTCATGGGTTTGATGCCCAAGTAAGTGGTAGTTTCAACTGGAAGCATTCATCTGGCTTTAGAAGCTTCAAAAATCCAATTTCTGATTGAATTTGGGGAGTAATTGTGATTTCTTGCTTGGTTTTCACATGAGATGTCCATGAAAATGATTTCAATTCTATTAATTTTACATGTTAAAAATATCACACAACCTGTGCTGTGAAAGAAGAGAAAACCATGTGATCCTCTGGGGACTATTTGCATTTATCTGAGCTGCACAATTCCCTTTCCCTGCCCTGAAAAATCCCTTTTGCAGAGTTTATTTTGGACAAAGTGCTTCTGGCTCCCTTCACTGACCTTTCTTGTCTCCAGACCAACATCGATGACAAAAGTCACATTTTTAGTCCAGATCAAAGGTTCTCCAGAGCTGGTGGTGAGTAGCACTTTCCTCCTGTATTTTTTGCAGCATTTCTGCCTGTTTTGAATTAGTTTGGGAGCCAGGTCTTGTTTTGTGGGGTACAAAGGGATGGGGATGAGTTCTCCAAGGTCAGGGTTTAAACTGGGTTGTTCCTGTCTGATCATCTGATAAGCTTTTTCAATTTCCTGTAATCAAGAAAAACACATTTTTTCCATATGAAATTGTTATATTCTTAGTCCAACTGCAACATATAAAATGATCAAAATATGCAGGAACCTTCCTACTTTCCCTTAATTATTATATTTGAGAAGATGTAAGTACTATAAAGGTTTGAATTTTTTTCCCCCAATGATTAATAAACTCTCTAAAGATTTAATAAAGTCAATAAAATGTTGTTAACTTGCATTGATGGAAGATCACCTTTAAAATAATCCACAGATCCAGAGATTGGATATGAATTGTAAAAGCTTTTTGTTGTTTTAGTGTTTTGTTGTTGGGGGTTTAATAAGAAATCATTTATGTTCTGCACGATTTTTGGAAAGGCATACAAAAATAATTCATGGGTTTGCTCAGTCTGAAAGGGATTTTTTTAAAAGCACTTTTATTAGCAAAGGTTTTGCAAAATTGAAAACCTAGACTGAGTTTCTCTTTGAGAGTGACATCACATTTCCAGTAGTTATAGGTTGAAAGTGCTCCATAAAAATTGTTATAAAGATACAAGAGTGACACCTAATAGCAAGGCTGGCAGCAGGGCAGCCCATAAATCCTGATGTTCTTGGTTAATTCATATTTTTGTTTAGTTTAAAAGACAGTTGAGTGCTTGAGAACAGTGAACCATTACCACGATGAAACTTTAAATCACAGTTAAACAAGAATTCATGGGATGTTCTGGTTCATAATGAGTGTTCTGTTCCTTGTGAGAGTGAAAAAATGAGTGATCTCTTCTTGGCAGGAAAGAAATTCCTATTCTAGTTTTGTGGGGAATTTACGTGTCAAGAAAAACCCTTTTAAGCAGAAATAAAATTTTCTTCCCAGCCTTTTGAAATGGAAAGAGCATGTGTTTTTTCTCTGACATTATCTATTGTATAACAATAATAACACAGAGAATTCATAACTTTTTTATTTGTAAAATTGGTGTCTATAAGGTTTAAAACTGATTATTAACATTATTAAAAGTGTTTCATATCCATCCCCCTTTTAACAGTGAAAAGCAACAAACACTGCCTGGGTAGTTAGTGATAAATTATCTTTCCTTGTGAAAAGTCATTATTTCCTGGTGAGTTTGTTGTTCTAAAGCAGATTTAATGACACACAGTGGAAGATTTGGGATCACTATCAGGAAAATTATAATAATAATCACAAATATTGGAATATTGATTTGATTGTCAGATTACTTTGCCAGCTTCAAAGGACCTGCTAGTGCAGTGAATTTAGGGAATCACTTCTGTCTACAGAGATGCAAAGATGTTACTATTTATAATGGCCAAGCCTGTGCAGATTCCTGGATTTTCCTCTCACGCCTCTGGAGTGACATTTTCCTCCTGTTGGTGTGCACACAAATGCTTGGGAAGAAGAATCCAAATGGAAAAATCTCCTTGGGAGGTTTAAGGTAAAGACAGCCCTGTGCTGTAGGACATTGATGGGGGCTGGACCTGTGTCCGTGTGTCCATCCCACACCACAGGGATAACACAAACTGTGGGATGCCCAGTGCCAGGATAGGTTATTCAATCCCTGCCCCTGTGTGCTGCTTTTACAGCTTTTTGCATCACACAAAAGGATGGTGGCCTTTCATTGAACCTACAGAAAACAAATATATTTTCTACACAATATTTATGTTACATAGATATTTCATGTGTATAAACCAGAGTGTTAATGTATGCAATGACTTCTTTGAAGGGAAACCCTGATATTATAAAACTTGGTGGCACATCTGCTGTCTTAGCTGCTGACAGCAAGGTATTTACAGGTCAGATAAAAAACCACATTTCCTGGTTAAAATCAGAAAGAGAACAGGTTTGATTCCTGGAGAAGCTACCTAGGGCAGAGGCTGGACAGAGTTAAAGGAATAAAGCAGGGATTTGTTAAAAGGTCTGCACAGGACACACTTTGGGCAGTAGAAGAGCCTGGCTGAGGCCAGACCCAAGATGGACAACGAGTCACGAGTTTTCACACTTTTATAACTTTTGGTCCATTTCCATATTGGGGTTAATGTTGAAATGTTGTTACTTTCAGAATGTCTGACTGGAATGGACAGCCAGGAGTTTAATCAAAGTTTCTTTGTGCAGTGTTATTGCTAAAATATAGGAGACTATATTGATTCTAATTTTAATGCAAATGCCTCAAGATGGACCCCAGGTCAGGAGTTTTCACACTTCTATAAATTTTGGTCCATTTCCATATTGGGGTTAATTGTCCGATTCCAGCTCCAGGTTATGCAGTCCCATCCTCCCAGATTGCTCTCCCCAGTTTGCTGTTTGCACTTTTTGGGTCTGGAAAAGGATTGTTCTGTGTGACTGAGCTGTGAGGAGAGCTTGCCAACCCTTTATATGAAGTTCAGAGTCACGCACAGCGCAGTCCAGAACGCGGAAAACGCGAAAGCTGAAACTCAAGGCGTCAACTCAACAACTTACTCGCTCAGATGGCAGGAAGACGACGATGTCCCCGCTCTCCCTGGAGTGGTGGATCTCCAGGAGCAGCCTGAGGGCGGGCAGGAAGGGGTCCCTGTGGGTGCTGCAGGAGAAGACGGCCGGGGCGCGGTGCCTGCCCCGCACGCGCAGCGCGGGGACGCCGCCGCAGAAGCGCTGCAGGGCGCTGCACATGTGGGGGGCAGTCAGGATCACCAGCCTCAGCTCTGCTCTGGCTGCCAAGACCTCCTTCAGAAGGCCAAGCAGGGCATCTGTGGCCACTGTCCTCTGGTGCACGTCGTCCAAGATGATGACACTGTAGGAGTTCAGGAGCGGCGTGGACATCATTTCCCTCTGGAGCACCTCATCCGTGCAGTACCTGCAACACAGACACACAAAGCTCTACCAGGTTCCTGGGACTATTATTGTAAGAAATTAATTCAGTGTCTTGGGGGCAGCTTGGATCTTTCTATTCCAACATGAAAGATTTGATAAGAACAGGGAGTATTTTTAGTCTCAGTCATTTGTTTAAATCCTTCCTTTAGCAGTTACAAACCTGATGTGATTCAATGACACTCAAAGTGTAGAAAGGATGCTCCAGGCAAAAGCAGGAATCCTCCTGCCCTGAAATCATCTGTTCATCTTCCATCACACGCCATAAACAATTTCTGAGCTAGGAATGAATCCTTTTGGATGAGGGAAGAAAGGTGCACTTGAGGCAGAGCTAGAACTAAGAGCAATTAATTTACACCATAAAGCCCTCCTCACTTCTATCCCTGCTGCTGACAGGTTTTTTTAAAGGATATTATTTTTTTTGTGTTGCTCAGCAGGACTTGGAATTCTAGAAGCAGGTTTGGATGTGTGAGAGGAAGGGATTCATCTCCCTCTCAACAGGAGCAGCTGCAGGAAGTTCTGCTGCAGGATGAGGTTTAAGGAGTTCTCCACAGACAGAGAAAGGACAGGCAAGAGGAAGAGTGGTGGGAACTGATTTTCAGAAGTGGTGAGTATTCTCTTCTCCACTGGAAACGGGTGGCTGAGAAAAAAGCTTCTGGTCTAGATATGATACTTTGTGCCTCCCATGTTAAGGAACCAGAGAAAATAACTCAAAACTTTCTGGCAGGCTCAAAAGCTGAATCCCTGTGTTACTGCTGTCACCTGTCTGTTCTTGCTACATTAAGTGCATTTCTTATCTCCCAAAAATCCCCCTGATTGTTATTTTCATCTTGTTGCTGAATATACCCTCTTCTAGCCATGTTTTTTGATTGCTTTCAAATTTTGGCTTTACTTTGGGAAAAATTATCACCTGTTCTCTTCTGGTATTGAACATTCCTGTACTGGAAAATAGAAAAAAAAAAAAGTAGGGGAAAAGAAAAAGAGGTTAATGAGGTGCTTAATGAAGTTTTGCTTGGACAGTAACCTTGCCCACTTAAATCTCTGCTATGATTTACCCCAGAATGCCTCCTTCAAACCTTTTAGTACTTACTGATTAATCACAAAATCTCTGCAGAAGAGAGGAGAGAGCTCATTGCAGTCTAGAACTTCCATGTGAGGGGAGGAGTGGGACAGGCTGTGCTCAGGGGTGGCCGGGACTGAGGGAATGGCTGGAGCTGTGTCAGGGAGGTTTAGGTTGGATTTAGGGAAAGGTTCTTCCCCAGAGGGTGCTGAGCACTGCCCATCATTATTGGACACAAAATGAGTATCCTGAAGCTTGGTAAGTTTAAAAGAGAAAAAAAAAGAGAGTTTTATTTGAACATCTGGTATTGATAGAATTCCAAAGGTGACAGTGGATTGGAGGATGGAATTGCCACCTCTCCAACCACACTGGTCAAACCAGCAATCCATCAATTCTCTCCTCCCATGAAGAAGAATGCAAAACAATAATTATTTACATGAACAGTGTGTGAGAACTCCAGTAGAAATATGTAAATATTATCAGAATGCTAAAGAAGTTTTATGAAAAATTAAAAATTTCAAAAAATTATGAAAGAAAACTTAACACTTTTAAAAATTGAGGTAACACTGCCCAGGCTCCCCAGGGCATGGGCACGGCCCCGAGGCTGCCAGAGCTCCAGGAGTTTGGACAACATTCCCAGGGATGCCCAGGGTGGGATTGTTGGGGTGTCTGTGCAGGGCCAGGGGCTGGATTCAATGATCCCTGTGGGTCCCTGCCCACTCTGTTGCCCTGATTTTAAAAAGTGTTAAGTTTTCTTTTGTAGTTATTTTGAAAGTTTTAAAGATTTCATAAAACTTCTTTAGCCTTCTGATAATGTTTACAAATTTGAGAGTCAGAGTTCCTACACAATTTCATGTATAAATAGAATATTTATACACAAGTGAGTGGAATGATTGAGTGTGAGTGGAGAAAAATGACTAATTGATCTTTAGACCAGTGTGGTTGGAGAGGTGGTAATTCCATCCTCCAATCCATGGTCACCTTTAGAATTCTAGAAATATTTATAGAAAATTGTCACTGTCGAGGCAGGACAGGAATGAGAAGACTCTGATCAGAAGGCTGCTGAGAGTAAAACTCCAGTTTATTGAAAATACCCTGCTCTTTTATACAGAGCTTATGAGGACCAACTCCATTGGTCCTGAAGTGAAAACAACCCAAACCATTGGTGCAGAGTGCTTGATGCACAGTGATGGAACTTCACTATAAACAATGTGAATAACAAGAGAGATAAAGAATTATTTACATTCTTTTCCAACTCTTTCCCAGGCTTCTGCCTGGATAGAAACTCTCCGTTTCTCTCTTTGACTGAATCTGAGACCCACAGAAAAGATATATTATAAATATGACGCTTTTAATATGTTTTTATAATTTTTAAAAAATATTATATTGATGTTTAAATAAAACTGAGTCTTTTTTCTCTTTTGAACTTACCAAGCTCCTGGTAGGATTTTTCTTGTTGACAAGAATACTAGAAATAGTGAGGAGGCTAGACTTGTGGTGGACTCCTCTCAGTTCTCCAGGGGAAAGACCAAGTTGTCCTTTCCAAGGTACTGGGCCCCGAATCTCAGAGCACTGTCCTGGATATTGCCCCTGGAGATGTCCAGGATTTCTCTGGATGTGTCTCAGGCTTTTTATCATATTCCTATGCATCCTCGTAGTGCTTTGCAGCTTGTGATATCTGACGGACAAAAAAAAGCTGCAATGGGGGTCGGTCTCAGCCCTTTTCTCCTCCATATACTCACAACTGCCCTCGCAACCAAAATTGCTCGTAGGTTCAATATTTGGGCTTTTGCTTATATGGATGATTTGCTCTGCCACCCAAACTCCACCTTGCTACGAGTAGCCACGCTATATGCGCCTGTGTCCGATAGCGACGCACCCAGTGAATTTAAAATATTCTCCAACTTCCCAAAGCGAGTGGAAAGCGCTGGCAGCGCTGTCAGGCGAAGATCTCCGAAGGCACCAACCTCAGGATGGTCTCGGGCGTGCAGCAGCTCTCGAAGGGGACGGCGTAGCCGACCTCGTGGCCCAGGCCGACGTCCAGCTGGTCGGCGGCGCGCAGGGCCAGCGCCACGGCGGCGCGGCGCAGCACCTGCGTGCACACCACGGCCCCGCGCCGCGCCGCGCAGCGCTCCGCGCACCACTGCGGCACCTGCGGAACGCCGCCGCGGCAGAAGATTCATCGTCATCATCATCATCATCATCAAAATAATAACAATGGTTGTAAAAATAATAATGCCATCAGAGTGATGAAGTTTAGAGTTAGGACAATTGCAAGAATTACGGGCGTCCGGATGCTGTCGGACACTAAGTCACGAAAAGCGTGACTTGTGAACAAAGGAATCACCCTTAAACCAATACACTTGTTGCATATTCATACACCTTCATGGTTATGCATCCATTCTATTCTAAACAAGAAACTCTGTCTGTTGTATGTCAGCTGTTCCTTTAATCCTCATGGCATCTTCCAGTCTGAGCAAGGCCTGAAGAAATTAGCTTCTTCTGATAAGAAGCCATAAATTCCTCTCAGGGCTGGCTCAGCAGCAAACTTCCCCCTGCTGGGTCATATCCATGGAAAACATATCCCAGGATTTCAAACTGACAAATGCCACAGCCAGTATCTGTAATTTCAGATTAATTACTCTGCAAACATATAGCTGAAACTGAACTGCTCCAGGAACTCACACAGCAGCTCCTTAATTTGTATATTTACTAACATCAACACTGGAAAATATCCATACGTTGTTATGAGAAATTAAAATTGCATTATAAATATTATTTTAATAGATGTTATCAGGTTTCAAATCCTTCATTTAATTAACATCTAAACCTAGGTGCATCAGCCATATATAATTTATTTCTATATAGTTATATGCACTTCTAGAAATGCTTAAAAACCAACAAACAATGTGCTACATCTTATTAAAGGTTCAATAAATTTTGCCTTGTTAAAGGACAATTCAAAAGCTAACATTTCTTAGCAAGTTGTTTACTATTACACAAGGTTTTTTTTGTCTGTAAACTACAGGCAATAACAAGGGGTAAAAACTTGGCACTCCAAAAATTATTTGGATGTGAATCATTTTTATGGGAACATCGGGATTTTCAGGGAGAGTTGTGATGTCTCTAGTTTAAAATGTGATCTCTGGAAGTATCCAGCAGTGAAGTCTGTAGGATGTATGAGATGCCATGCAACAGTAATTATCCTGCAGCTCTACCTGCAAGAAATTTTCCTCCTGATCCCAGTCATAAACAACAGTATTTTGGCTGATAGCACTTACTTGAAAATTCTTTTCTACTGACTGTGACAACAGGCCTGGGTTGTTATAGATTGTTAAAGCAGAATTTCATAGTCCTGACTGATACTTGGGTACTTACACTCAGCTGAGATCTTGGCTTCAGTGGTTTCTTTTAACATGAGTTTTGTAAAGTAATTTTGTGCTGTTGGAGAAAACATTTGCTCCTGGCTGAAGGGGGGGAAAGAACATTAATTCTCCCTGAGAATCAGCCCTGCTGATTTCAATCCTTCATTCCCTGGGAATGTTTTGTCACTTCATCTTATGACAAATACTCTGTATTTCTTTCCTGATACAGCATTAACCAGAACCAAACCACAAAGAAACTGCAAATTTTTTTGAATGCTTAAAGAAAGTTATTAAAATATTTAATATATTTAAAATCTGTATTTGCATTAATCTTTATTCACCTTTGCTATTTCACTTTCCCTTTCTGGCCTTAATACTTGGTTTACAATAGTTATAGTGATTCTGAAATTCATTAGATGTTCTAAAAATGCATTAAAAAACCCAACCAAGTTGGCTGTACTGACCTGGGAGCTCTTGCCAGTCTTAGCATCTCCTGACACAATCACAATTTGATTATGGAGCAACGTTTCCATGAAAGTACATTTTTCTTTCCATATTGGAAGCTCTTCTCTCTCTTTCATCAGTCTATAATAACGGGAGGAGTAAGGCAAGCCATCAAAAGGATTAAGCTCTAAATCTTCTCCACAGACAAGTATTTCCTCTTCATCCCCGTCGCTGCTGTCGAGTAATTCTGAAAAGCAGTGGTTCTCTGGGGGAAAGGTTAAAAACTCCATTTTTCTTACATATATTATTCCCAGCGAAAGCCCATTAGTGATGGAAGTAGCCCTTTGTGTGCTGATTGATCATTTTGGCCCCTTAAACCTGAGCAAATCCATTTTTCCTCGCCCCAGGATTAGTATTTCACAGCTCTCGGGTTTAAAGGTCCAGGCTCGGTGTCCAGCTGCCTTTGTGGTCTGCTCGTCTCGCTCTGGGTGGTTTAACAGCCCCAGTGAGCCTGGAGAAAATATATTTATATATTTTTGAAAAAAAATAATCACCCAAAAATCTTCCAAATGGCAGCGTTGAAACCAAAAGGAGGAGCTGAGCAGATTTTGCAGCTCGGCGTTGAGTCCCAGTGTTTGCTCTTGCCCAGGCTGGGGGATGATTTGGCAGAGCAGCTGAGCCTGACCTCTGTGGCTGCAGGGGGAGAATCTGGAGCTGTGATTGCAGGGCTGGGAATGTGGGAGCTGATCCCAGCACAAAGGCTGCACCCCTGGGTGCTGCAGGGCTCTGCCTTTGAGCTCCGTGCAGGGCACAGTGGCAAAAACTCTTTTATGCACTCTGTGCATGAGCCCAGAGGACTTGGGAGGCTTTATCAGCTTTTGCTGCAGTTAAAATACACTTAACACATGAAAAAATCCCAGAGTGATGCCAGTTCTATTCCTTCAAGGGCACCAGAAGTGGCCTTGGAAGGAGGTGGAAGAAAAAACATTACTGATGTACAGTAACTCCAACTCGGAGGACTCCAAAGTAGCAAAATTGCTTCCTAATCTTGGCTGAGCTGCACTGTAAGGCAAATATGAAATAACACTTTTTATTTTAGCTCCAGAGGGAAGTTATCACCAGGATGCTGATAATGTCCAATTTTCATGCTCACTTAGGTCATTCTGCTGCATTTGGATTCCACTTTCCCCCTGACCTTCATGGATCCCTCTAATCCATCCTGTTTGTCTGATTTTGTGTTCCATCCCTCCCTGCTTGTTAAAGCAGAATTTCATAGTCCTGACTGATACTTGGGTACGTAACTCAGCTGAGGTCTTGGCTTCAGTGGTTTCTTTTAACATGAGTTTTGTAAAGTAATTTTGTGCTGTTGTTACAAACTCCCAACCTTTGAGATCTCTGCCTCTCCCAAATGGGCCCTAAATCACTCAATAAGGCAGAAATGTCAGAAGTTCAATCCCACAAAGGGTTTTTTCATAAAATTTATCTTAAAATAACATTAAGGATTTTTTTGGGGTAAAATTAATATTAAAACGTCTTGAAGCAACCACATGAATTGCTATTATTCTGCATTTTCCTTGTTTTTCACATGTTTAACAGCTCTGATTTCCTAATTTGCAGTACAGGCTCATCTCCTAAACCCTGGACATTGGACAGCAATATTCCTGGTTCACTGAACAAATTTGAATTGTCATAGCACAGCAATTTTTTTGTTCTCCCTTTTTAGTATGTAATACAGGAAGGCAGATTAAAATGTTACCAAATCAAGAAGAACATTTTACTATTTGAAAACGAAGTATTTTTGAACTAATATTCCTTTTGTGATCATGTTTTAAGAGACCAGGTTGTTGACTGATTGACTTTATTTATTTCTGCTAAAATAGGGCCTGTAGAACTTTATTTTTCTTTTCAGCCAGGCCTTCAAGGACTTACAAGATGGGTGCTTTAACATAATACAGAAGGATTTAATTAATTCTGATAAAAAACTGAAACACTCTCTGCAGATGACTGCTCTTAGTAAATTAGGGTATAAGCTGCTTTCAAAGATATCAATGAAAACTTTGCTATTGATATAAATTATATATTGTTGTGCAAGTGCTGATGATAATGCACTCTAGGAAAGGAATAAATATCACATAACATATTCTGGATATTTAATAAAGACTCCTTAAAACACAGCTACTCTTTGTAGCTTTGCTATTAAACCTTTCAGAGGAGGAGGATTTTCTGTGTGTAATTTAAAATAATTTGATCTGTGCTATCAGTGGCATTTCAGAGATGTTCCCCATTTTTCCTCCCCCATTTCAGCAGAAATATTTTGCAATAGCAATGGGAATTTAAGGGTGTCTTTTCTTTTTTTCACCCCAAGAATGTTGTTTAAATAGAGGGGTTTCGATTAAATTTACTTCATAATGTAGTGAATAAAGCCTGTGAAATGTGAAGATGAAACATCCTGGCTTTTAAAAGCAGAATTACAGTTTATTGTTGTTAAATGAGAACCAGCAGATGCTGTCAAGAGCAGTTCCTCCTTCCATCCTATTTTCCAGCCCAGACTCTTTGAAGCCAAATCCCTCCAGTGGGATGTGGAACAGCACCTTTGCAGCTGGAAGTGGAGGGGCTGCTCCTAACCTTGAATTATTTTCATGCTGAAGGCTTTGATAATTTTCCCTTTTAACACAAACCCGCCCTAAAGATGTGTGCTGGTATATTTTGATATTTCCTCTTTCTGTTTGTGTGGCTGATCGGTGATCTGCTGACCCAGATCCTGAGCTGGGAATCCACTTGAAATTTGTTTTTTTCTGAGGGCTGTGTTTTACCTGCCATTGGTCTGTGCTGGTTCCAGGTTGTTTATTCTGTTTATCTCTCACATGTTCTGCTGCCCTGCCCAGCTCTGTCCTGCAGGGCAGCGTGTGGGGCTCTGCCCTCAGTGGGATGTGACAAACATTAAATACCAGAAACTCCCTGGGCTGGATTTACAAGAACGTGCCAATATCTGTCACCTACGTTGGACAGTGTGTCCCCAGCCTGAACCAACAGAAAAATGCCAACACCACAGTGAGACATGGAGGGCATGAAGAAGGAGGAAAAGGACAAGGCACACCCAATTTCCTCCATCTTGTCCCCTTTGGACCCCTCATCTAGAATCCTAAAATTTTACTTTTGCACCCGTGCCACACTTAATTATTACTGATATCAAACCCTCAGAGCTGGTAATTGATCCTGTAAGGTTGAAAACTCTTTTCCATGGCCAGAGATCACAGCCAGTGTCTCTGGGGCTCTGTCCAGGGGTGTCCCAGGGCAGCCAGAGGGATGCTCTGATTCCCTCAGGGTTGCAGGGCTGTGAGCCCCGGCTGGAGCTGGAGCTGCAGCTCATCATCCACAGCCCCAGGCAGGGCATGCAGGGAGGAAAACTGGCTGAGAGCTGGATTTTGGCACATGAAATCCTCATGGAAGATGCTCCTGAGCTAAAAGCAGGGCAGGGAATGGGACAGGGGTCTGCTTGTACAGAACAAATCTGGTCCAGTCACCTGTGTGAGCAAAGCAGCTGCAGTGAGTGCAGGGGCAGAGCCTGAGGTGAGGATGTCTCTGTGATTTATGGAGTCCTGCTGCTGAAAATGGCACTTTAATAGTCTCAGCAGGAGTTCTTGTTGTTGTTTTGGTTGCTTTTTATGCTGCTATGAATATGAAAGCTTGGTGCCTGGCCAAGAGACAGCAAATAAATGTGAAAAAAACCCTCTCATTTGGAGACTCTGTTACTTCTCTCTTGGCCTACAGACAGCAGCGTTTAACCTTGCTTATACTGTAACTAAATTACAGTTTATTGAGCAAAGTGTAAAACCAAAGCAGGGAATTTTCACCAGTGAGAGAGACACCAGCAGCACAGATGTGTCACACTTCTATTGTGTTTTAATTAAGGTCCTGCTGAAAGCCTGGCTGAAAAGAAAAATTAAGTTTTACAGGCCCTATTTTAGTGGAGATAAACAAAGTTAATCAGTCAACAACCTGGTATGTTAAAACATGATCATGAAAGGAATATTAGTTTCAAAATATTTCATTTGCAAATAGTAAAATATTTTGCATTACTGCTCTTAAAAGTACTGACAGCCAGTGATGGATTGGTGTAGAACAAGGTGTTTCAAGTTAGGATATAAAAAATATCTAATTTTACCTCAGTGGTTGCCCAGTATTGGATAGAAATGCTATGAGAATTGAGCTGAAATTGTGCATGTTTATCCAATATACTTGGCTGGGTGTTATTCCAGGACCTTCAACCCCAGGAAAGGACTGGGATGGACTGGTTTGCTGTGGAGAACTCTCTGGATGCCCTGAGTGTTCACAATGGGAAACAAAAGCCAGCTCAAAGCAAGTTTTCTTTGTGCATTACCACATTCCTCACCAGCATTTGCTTAATAAAACCATTGGTTATCTCATTATCTGCTGTAGAGCTGGGTTGGGACAGCACCCACAGAACTGCCAGCCCCACAGCAGACCTGTGCTTTTATTCTCCATTTAATGATGACATCAAGAGCAAACCTCCTGGCTCTCTGTGCCTTTTGCAAGTACATTTTTTCCTGAGTTGTTTCAGAGAGTGGCTTTGAGGACAATTTAAACACCAAGACAGCTTAAGACAGATGATAGGAGGCCAAAATGAGATTTTATTCTAATTTATTGGTTTTTTTTTAATGTAATGGGATATCTTAATATGTTTTCTATTCTCTTTCTGTTGTTTAGAAAAGCAAGACCAGCTTTGTATTTTCAGTTCGTAAGTACAATATTCATGTGTGCTATAGAGTTAACACTTTCCAGAGCTGCATGAGGAGGGAGAAATAAAGACAATTAATTGGGAAGAGAATAAAACATATTTTAAATTTGGATTAAAATGAGATGAAGAGTCAGCTGGGACAGTATTAGTACAGTTTTTTTTCCACATGACAGCAACAAGGGATGAGGAGTTTGGGTGGGGGCCAGAATGTCTGATGGGGCAGCAACAAAAACTGGAGTTGTAGCAGTGCAGGGAATAGAGAGTGGGCTGTCTGAGAGAGCTGATTTAAAAACTGATGAGAAATATTCTCTGCAAAGTTCCTGGTACAAGTTAGGAACTGTATTTGTGAAAGCACTGCTGATGTGGTGATGTTTTTCTTTGAAGGCAGAAATACTTCCCCAGCCTGGAGTATGAAATACTGGAAATATGGAATATGAAATATGAAATAAGAAATACTTTCACAGCCAAAAATTTGTGGATCTTGAGGAAATAGAGGGGTTTTGAGCAGGGAAGGAGGGAGATGTTCTTGGG